TAAACATGGCTGACGCCTATTAGGACGAAAAGTTAATTTACCCAAGTAATACCAATGTTGCCAGATTTTTGTAACTATATTTTAGCGCGATTTTTGATTGATGATGAATGCGTGATAATCCTCTTTCCGGAAACACATCGTAACCATCAAAATGAGAAGTTTTACAAGCGAGCTTCTTGACAGACTTGACTCTCAGACAAGTTTCTGTTTGACTCGAGAATTAATTGTAAACTTTTTATTATTTTTAAAGCAAAATGTAATTGATATATTAAATTACAGCATTCCTACATAAAAACTACACAACATTTCTATTTAAGAAATTTTAATTTGTAAGTTCCAACACAATTAAATCGCGACCACGTCAACTGTCAAATTTTGTATTATCTCGTACCGTGATTCATTAACATTTATAGGTTAAATACCTTCACAATTTTTACTCCAGGATTTTAAAAACGATACGATGAATATTTGAACAGATTTTACATTAAATAAGCTTCATATACAGGGGATGCTGATAATATATTGACATTTGTTACCTCACAGTATTGTAGGTCTGTTTACACTACACAAATCTTCGAGATATTAATAAAAATTGTATGTGGCAACTATGAAATAATACCAACAGTTCCCGCCATTCATTGGTGAATTTGAATGCCTACTGTTTTTTCAATGATATTTAATGTAAATAATTGTTTTTTGGGTAACATTTTTTCTATAAATCTGATTGTATTTAAGACTTGATGTATTTCAATAAACACAATTCTAAAATTATTGCTTGGGGAATTTATAAGCAGTTGGAGTTGTATTGTGACCACATACAATGAATTTTAAGGAAAATAATAAATGCGTAACTTCACTTTTAGCAGTGTTACTATTTATTTAGTTTTCTCACGTACTTAGTCATAGAAGAAACTTATGCCTTATTCCCTTCTTCTTCTTGTAGTTTCTTGTCCTATCGGAGGTTGGCTATCATCACAGTCATCCGTACGTTATTGGCGGCTGCTCTGAAAAGATCTATCGAGCTGCAACTATACCACTCTCTTAGGTTTCTTAGCCAGGAAATTCTTCGTCTTCCTATGGATTTTTTACTCTTGATTTTACCTTGCATTATGAGCCTTCTTCTTCTTCTTAAAGTGCCTATCCGTTCCGGATGTTGGCGATCATCACGGCTATCTTTACTTTACTTTACTACTACAGAGCATCACGAAATCCGAATTGTGTTCTTGTTAGTTGTACCTCACATTTTGTATATATCCTTTTGTGAATGACCTTTAGAAATGTTTTAAGTAAATGGCTCATAAGGCTTATAATTCTATAAGGCTTATAAGTTCTTTGCACTTTCTCGCATTGGGTTTTTTTTGGAAGATTTATAAAAGTTGACACTAACCATTTTTGGGGAATTATGCCTGTATCATGTATATTGTTAAATATATTTTTCAACCATTTTATGCCATCATAGTCCATAAGTTTTAAGAATTCTCAGTGAGAATTATCAGGACCTACTGCTTTACCATCTTTGGCGATTTTGATGGCATATTTTACTTCTTTGACTGTAAATGGTGGTCCAGATTCGCAATTGGTGTTTGTTGTAATACCAGTGTTACTTCGTACATCTTCAAAAGTGTTTTCCACATATTTAATCCAAATATCCCTTTTATGCTCTATTTCCAGTACTATGTTTCCCTATCTGTCAGGAATCCAGTGTTCTTGTGTTTATAGTGTTTATATAAGCCTGCCGCTTCTTTAATTTTTTTATGAAGGTTAAATGAATCATGTTTTTTGTTGTAATGCCTCTATCTCTGTACACTTCGAGATAAACCAATTTTCTTTTGCCATTTTAATAGCCCTTTTTATTTCGTTATTTATGTTGTTGTAGTAATTCTTATTATCTTTAGCGTTTCTTCTGTCTTCCATCATACATAGAATCTCCTCCATCATCCATTCCTTTTTCTTTGTTCTTTCAGGTTTTAAGTATTTCTCTGTTATTAATGACTTACTTTGTGCAAATTTTCTAGTTCTACATCTGTGTTATCTATTTCTGTACGAGCACATGTTTTTTTTGTACGAGCCCACGTTTTTTCTTTTAGGCGTTTTTGTACCTTTTCCTTTACTGTTTTATTTTTCAGTTGGTTAATATCGTACCTACTTCATAATTTTTGGTCTTTGAACTTTCTTTAAACTAAGTTTCATTTTGGCGATAAGTGGATTGTGGTCCGAATTTATGTCGGATCCCGGGTACGCTTTAACAGATATTATAGAGTTTCTAAATCGTTTGTTAATAAGAATATAGTCTATTTGATTTCGTACTGTGTGATCTGGAGTATCCTGGGGAGATTTCCACGTATATAATCGTCTTGTTGGAAGATCATAAAAGGTGTTTGTCACTACGAGCTGCTCTTCAGTTGTAAATTCAATCAAACGGTCTCCGCGTTCATTACGTTCCCCTAGACCAAAGGATCCCACTAAATTTCCACTTTGTCCTTTGCCAACTTTGGCATTAAAGTCTCCCATTATTAGTATTATTTCGTTTTTCCGAATCCTTTTGACAATATTAGTAAGGTCATTGTAAAATTCTTCTACAATTTCTTCTGGGGTGTCCGCTGTAGGAGCGTATACTTGAATAATGTTTGTTTTTATGGGACTTGTGTTTAGCAGAACTAAAATCATCTTTTCTGATACAGGTACAAAGCGACTGACATAATTGGCGATTTTATTATTCATAGTTAGGCCCAGTCCATTTATATGTTCGTTCTTAAGATTTCCTGAGCAGAATAAGCGCATTTCGCTTATTCCCATAATATTAATCGAGAGTCTTTCCATGTCTTAAATGGCATTATAGATTTTTCTCGCCTCGTACATTGTTCTAACGTTCCATGTACCTATCTTTATGGCTGTTCGCAATACTCTTAGAGATCCATCATCTATAATGTAGTTTGGTTCGTAAGGATTTCTATTGATAACGACCTGGAAGGCCTCAGTTTTTTATCAACATGATAATTTTACTAGAGATACTTACAATAAGTCTTTAATGCAGTGGTTTCTCCTTGCCTTCTGCATTCTTATGCCGTTCACTAAAAGTCTTAGTTCCTCCGTCTTCGAAGCCGATTTCTCAAACTCCAGGACAAAAGAGTGCCCTTAGATCGCAGTATCACAGCCGCTTAACTCATAATGTGAGTGTCGCCTGTGAGTGTCTGGAATTAAGCCTACAGGATTTTTATTTCCCACAGCCTTAATCCAGTAATGACATTACTGCTGCCTAATGTCATATCCTCAGTTGATCCGCGGGTACTTATTTGGCAATACCTTATTCGTACCTGTCCTGCATATCTGCAGGAACTTTCCCTATCAGCCATATGAAACGTGCCGTGTCGAGGTTGAGGATATCCCCGCCCAGTCTGTCTTCCGTGAAGTACAGAAGAGCCCCTACTTAGTTCAGAGCTCTTCTTCCACGAAAGCTAAGACCGGCCACCGGAGATATTATGAGCCCTAATATCTTATATTTAGCACTTCTGGTAATGTGGCCTAAATATTCCAGATTTCTTGTTTCAATGTGCTTTATGACCTCGCAATCCTTTTGTAGCCTTCTTAACACTTCTGCATTTGTAACTCGTTGGGTCCAATTTATTTTCAAAATCCTTTTATAGCACCACATCTCAAATGATTCCAACTTCTTTATATTATCCACTTTTAGTGCCCAGCTTTCCATTCCATACAACAAAGTCGAGAACACGTAGCATAGTAAGGCTTTTATCCTCAGCTCCAAAGGAAGGTTTCGATTAACAAACATTGTTTTCATTTTTATAAATGCTTGTCTTGCAATTTCAATGCGTCTCCTTATTTATCTACATTAGTCATTGTTTTCATTTACCCAGGTTCCCAGATATTTGTAGTTCTTCACTCTTTCTACTTGTTTTCCTTCGTTATCTAGCCTTCCTACTGTATGTTGTTTAGAAATAATAATGCACGTGGTTTTCTTAATGTTCATGTAGTCCGTATTTTATAATGACTTGATGTAATCTACTTACTAAGCTTTGCAGTGCTTCCGCAAAACAGCGGTGTTGTCTGCGAATCTTATGTTGTTCAATATTTTTCCGTTTATTGATATACCCTGTTGTTTCTCTGATATTGCTTTCTTAAAAATAAATTCGCTGTACAGATTAAATAACAATGGGGACAGCGCGCAACCCTCTCTAACACCTCTTTTGATTTCTATAGTTTCTGCATCGACATGTTCGATTCCAACCTTTGCTTTTTGATTCCATTACAGATTGACAATAACCCGTATATCTCGACTATCCATATTCTTTTCTTTTAACAGTTTTACGAGTTTCTGATGTCGTACTCTATCAAAAGCCTTTTGATAATCTATAAAGCAGACATATAGATCCTGGTTCATATCTAGTCGTCTTTGCGCGAGAATGTTAAAAGCGAACAGAGCCTCTCTCGTTCCTAGTCCTCCTCTTAATCCAAACTGGGTGTCATCTATATCTTCTATTTTTTTTTGTATAGTCTTCCATGTATTATTTTGAAAAATTTCTTAAGTGTGTGGCTTAATAAGGAAATTGTTCTGTACTGGGAGCATTCTGTCGCATGTACTGACTTTGGTAGTGTTACAAACGTGGACAGCAACCAATCTTCGGGTATTATTCGTGTTGTATATACTTTGTTGAACAGATCTAAAAGTATATGCAATGTTTCTTCGTCAATGCTTTCATTTGTTCAGTGGCCCAGCTTTGTCTCATTTCTGATAGTTGGCTTATGAGGTATAGCGATACCTAATTGAATTAGTCAGATGATTTACAACTTTGTTATTAATTGCATTTCATGATAAACGATTGAAAGACTATTTCTAATGATAATAAATGGGTACTTCATCTGTAAACCAACTTTTTTTAGCTTATCTTGACGTTAACCGACATGCCTATGTCCTCTTATCGCCGCTATCGCAAATCCGTTCCTGCATTGATATATAAATTTATCTTTAGTGATTCAAATGTGTCCTCAAATCAATTAGTCATGGACGATCTGAGCCAGTTCGAGTTGGTATAGTGCAACAAACAACAACAGTATTTATAATTAATTCTCTTCGTAATTTTAATTTAACGTTGAAACCGAATTCTCGGGCATATCCCCAACTGCGCTCCCACAAAAGCGGATCATTTCACTATTTCGCCGTGTGTGTGCACTCACGTATCAGCAATATAATTATTTGTATGTACGAAACGGATAATGATTTTGGTGGTTTTGACTTTCTTGTGGTTAGCAGTGTGTTATTATTTTTGTCGAACGAGATCTCCACCCAGCCAGAAGGAAAATAAGGTGAATAATATTTATTATTTTGTAAAGAACATAAAATTTTCGATTAGAACAGTAATTTTAAGAGGTGCTCAGTGAATAATATAAATTGAATAAAAAGAAAGGTACTACAATAGAAAGTTATTTTTATTTAATATGATACAATTTGGCAGAAATCAAAAAACAATAATTCTATAAATTTTAAAAATCTGAAAACACCTGAAAGTGATCCGACCACAAACTTTTGTGCTTTCTGTTTCTTTATGCTAAGTAGTTTCAACATTAAATTGGAATATTTTTCACTGTTTAATTTTTTTTGGCATTATTTCGTGCTGTGATCTCTGTTGCTTTTATTTGTTCTGTGACAAAAGCGATACGAGTTGATTACTCCAAAACAAAGAAATCTTTTTGATTCAAGATTGGTTATATATCAACATCTTATGTCATCATTGCCCTCAATTTGGTCTACTCCGCAAATGCATCCATTGTAATACTGAATTTTTCAGTGTCATCTTTTAAAGCTCATCGGCCAACATCTTGTTTTGTAAGGTTTCCACAACCTGTTGATATTTGCGTTCTTCTTCTTCATGTCATTGGACACGTCCTCATCCTTTATAGACATTGGCGATCATCACGGCCCATTTTACTCTGTCAACAGCAGTCCTGAAGAGTTCTAATGTTGTTTTCCACTTCACTGCTTTGAAATTTTTCAACCAGGACGTCAGTTGTCTCATTGGTCCTCTTTTTTTCTTCCACTTTCCCTTGTATGACCAATTGCATCCAACTCATATTTTTTAGTTGTGACCAAAGAAGCTCATTTTTCTTTCCTCCATTGTGTTGAATTTTTTTCCTTTTTTCGTCTTTCTTAATGTGTCCGTGTTTTTTACGTGTTGTGTCCATGATATTTTTCACATTCTGCGATAACACTACACCTCAAAGCTGGAAAATCTCGTAATTATCCCCCGGAGGCCCGTATTGTAGCTCCCCGATGTAAATTACCGTCCAATTGTCCAGTCTTAATTATGCCCAGTTTTGCATAATACTGCTTTCATCTTATTGAAAGCGCTTCTGGCCATCTCATTTCTCATTTAGCTCACTTCCCAAGTAATTGTATTTGGATAATTTTTCTAAAGCTTTTTCTTCAATAAATATTGTTTCGTCTTTAGTCTTGCTCTTACTGACAATCATGATTTTTGTTTTTTTTGTGTTCAGACCATTTTATACCTCTCGCATTACTGCGTAGTGCAATCAACCAAAATTTGTACCCCTTCTCAGCTATCCGCAGTGAGTTTGTATCATCTGCATATCTGAGATTATTCACTAGTGTTCCGTTAATTAATATGCCTTCATAGATGTCTTCTATGCCTCTTTAAGCATATCTTCTGTTGTACTCTCCTCTTATAGGTATCTCTTTGATTTTTGTTGATCTACTCGTATTATGGAAGGACTCTCGAATTTCACGAACTCTAAAAAAGAGGTTGATCAACTGCTTAATATTCCCAATACTGACATATGGATGTGAATCTTGGATTCTACAACAAGCGGAAAGAAGAAAGATAGATGCCACTGAAATGTTCTGTTGGGAAGAATGTTATAAATTTCATGGACGACCGCAGGACAAATAATTCAATTTTATCTTCCAGATGGACTCTAGAATAGACCATCTCCAACAATTAAAATAATTTTGACATGTTATGAGAGAACACAGAACACAGAAAGACTTATTATCCAAGGAAGATCACGAAGGACAATCTCCAACAAGATGGATCGATCAAATTACAGGCATATGCAAAAGAGTACTCTGGTATATGACCAGAGACAGTACTCCGGGGGTCAGGACTGAAGAGAGTGTCGTCTTATCACTTTCTGATAACGGTATAAGTTTGTAATGATTCTCATATCCTGATCATCTATTTCTGTATTCCGTAATATGTTTGCAAGCCTTCTGTCTTTCTAAAAATCAACGAGACGTATGAATACGTCACAATTGATATCTCGAAACCGGTTTACTGAGCGGTTATATAGATATGATGCCTCTCTATTCTTATGCTATCGTCTCTTTTTGTAGAGACGTTCATGTATCACTCGCAAGAACACTTTTAAAACATGGTTGATCAAATTGATGGTTCTATATTCTTCACATTTCATTACGTTGAGTTTTTTGGGTATTGGGATGAATTCATTCATTCTTTCGGAATTTTTCTGGTATAGTAAATTTTATTGAATAATTCTACTAGTTATATCATTGTGGTTCTCTGTTAGTAGTCGTGAGTATTTCATCTGGTTCCGTGGCTTTATAATTTTTTATACGTTTTTGTGCCTTTTCAATTTCCCCTTTCGTAATTGTAGGTCCATTTCTACCTCTTTGTTCTATTGTTCTCTATTCTTTGGTCTTCTTCAAATAGTTTTTATATATTCTTGCCATATATTTTTTTCTCTGCACTTTCAATTATTATTTTGTTGTTTTTTTTTCATTATGTTTCCAATACCTTTTATTTGTTTATGTTAAAACTGACATGGTGTTTTTCTAATCTTTCTATTTCTGCACATTTTTTTTATAGCCACAGTTCCTTCGCTTCTTTGATTTAATAATTAATATTTGCGTTAAATACAACCAATTCTTTTCTTCTTTTTTCGTTTCTATGGCAAAAACATAAACCTAATTAGAAACTAATTCATTGAATGGAAGATCTTTACTGTTATGATACTGTTCAAAATCAAAAAAATTTGACCAAAATTTGAATAAACAAGCTTGGATTAGTCACTATGTAATAATTTGGCTGGTTTGTTGGTTCAGAGGACTGCTGTATTCACTTTGATGTAAGTAGTTTACCAAGTTTATGGTTTGTGTCACACTCCAGAGAGAAATGTTTTGAATGCAACAGTATAAATTCCAAAGGAAGCAACTTAGAATTGAATTGTGTTAGAGAATTGGCCGATAAATGAGTAGTACGGTGAGAAATCAGGTCTCGCAGTCCGATCAGGCTCATTCATTCGTACCTAATAAAGCATGTTAAGACGGTAAAAAGCTAGGACATACATTTGAGAAAAAACAGATAATATCTTCTGTATATTTCAAAATATGTTTGAAATAAAAGCCTATTGTATTTTTTCAGAAACGCCTTAGACATCACTGTATTATGCTAGTTACATTTTTGAGCATATGAAACTGCCTTGTCGATTAATAGTATTGCTTTGATTGGAAGGTCAACAACTTGTTCACAACACATAGTTTTGCATATGACAAGTAGAGAGTGGAATTCATGTGACTGTTCTACGCGTACTCTAATTGTGTTAATTTGGTCTATTTATGATCGGTTTGGTTTAAAGCCAGCTTGTTCCTTCTTTAACATTGGTTCAACTCTGTCTGTTAATCCGTGATTTATAATGATTGCTCTTAATTTATTTATGGTATACAGAGGTGTGATTCCTCTCAGTTTTCGTGATATCTTTTGTGGCCCTTTTTTGGCATCTTTATCCATTCTTTGGGAAACTTTTCCTCTCTCCAGGCCCTCCGCACTAGTAGTTTGATTAGCTCTGTTGTTGTGCTTTGGCTTTTAACAACTCCGGTGGAATATTGTCAGGGACGGCTGTTTTGTGCACTTTTCTCTGGCCATATCAATTGGCCATTTCAATTTCTTGCGTTGTTGGTTCATTCGTATTACTTCTTAGTTTCTTGACATTGGGATTTACATTTTATGCATCTTCTGGTGTTGTTAGTATTGAGACTTACGAAATATTCATGCCGTCTTTTGACTTGTTCTTGTGGCACTCATTTCCTTACGTATTTCTTTAAAATAAGGCATTGCTAATCGTTTCGCAGTTTGTGGATATTGAAGATTAATATCAGTTATATGCAAAGAGAACAAGATGAGCCGTCACAGAACGCTTGAAACATGTGAAACAATAACATTAGTAACGTGCTCCAAAGATCTGAAATCCTACTGTCCCGTAGAAAGCCGGTCTAGCCCGCTACATTAGATATTTCACATAAAAAAATAATTCATTCGCTAATATGCCTTTAACAGATATTGCTATCCGCTTGTTAGCTTTTCGTTGCACAACTTGAGTTTCACAATAGTCTGTATTTATTTAACATTATATCTGGTAGGACCCTGTAGGATCCCTGAATAAGGAAAAACAAATCTACAAAAGTTATTAATAATTAATAAGGGGTAATGCTATATTTGCTGACCAAATATACTACTTTTATTCCTCATAACTATACGTACATATTTTATCTTTACATTACGAAAATTACAATGAAATGTGGCAACGTTGTAATATATTCAATGAGAACATTTAAGACAGAGACGTGCTGAGATGAAACAAACATAAAATGTTATTGATTGAAACTTTTCAATACTAGAGTCAACAAACACCTTTAAATTATTGTGTACAAGACTGCTGTGTACATTTTTCAGTCGGACATTCTAAAAGAGAAGTTTAAAAATTCTCTCCAGAGTACCTACCATCGCCTAAAGTTCTTTCTTGTAATATTTTGGACAGTTTTTATTATATTGTCAAGTGTTGTGGACAAAAAAAAACATTGTGACATCCTGTTTAAAAAAAAAACTTCTGAAATACTTAATACTCAATGTTTTGGTGCTATGATTTAATTTTTTTTGTGTTTTAGGATGAACTCTCTGAAAAATCCTTATTGGCGTCGAAGAAAGACGAGCTGGATGCGGCGTCTAGGCATTGGAAGTCGAGAGTGGAGAAATCCGATGCAGAAAAATTCTCCGTCGCTGGAAAGATGGGAGAGAAAATTAAACAAACAATTCCTACGATTAATATACCAGCGGCCACAGATAGCAACAAGAGGACTCCGCAGGCGAAGAGGTTTAAACTGAAGGATGGTAAGTAAACTTTGATCAGGACTATTTAAAGGACACCCATTAAATGAAATCGTACTTAAAACTAATGATATTTTCAAAATTGATTAAGACTTGAGTGTACACAGAAGGTATATTTCGATATCGGCGTAACTTTCAAGTGTGCACATACTTCTGATTGACTGGGGATGAAAAATAGACTTGACGGCAAGATTTATTTGTTTTGTAGGAAAAAATTATTCATTTTCCCACATTCTCATAAGTTTATTTTGTGTAAATTAAGAAAACCATTGAGTTTTTACTTTTGATTTTCATTTACCATTTTGTTTGGAATAAATGTAAAGAAACCTACTGCTTCAAAACAAACAACATATACCTCAATGTCTGTTTGTCTCAATGTTATGATATCTGTCAGTTACGAATGTTGGTAATTAACATGGCTATCTTATTAACTTTGCTGGTAGATATTCGAAATAGTCCGGGTGTGGACGTATTGAACCTTTTTCTGAAATTATGAAGCCTGCTTCTTCTCCCTGGTTGTGTTTTTTCCTGACACCAGCAGTAGACAGAATCGTAGCTATCGTCTGAGTACTTTTCATTCTCCATTGTCCCATTATTTGTATCTATCTATTTCTTTATTTGGCGATCTTCTCGTTGTATGTAACAAATAAATTATTGTAGTTTTAAGCTTATAGTAGCTTTAAACATACTTATAATGTCCTGTCAATTTTGCAGATATTCATTCCTTTTTACAACTTTTTCGTGGTATAATACTCTTCAAGAAAGTTGACGTTGAAAGTGAAACTGCTCACAAAATGTACATAATTTTTAAGCTTAGCAGAATATTTTTATGCTTTGATTAAAACATCTTCGAAGCCTCATTATCGCTCAACGAGAACGAAATGAATATTAATTCGATTATATATCATTTGTGATCACAATATAAATTACTTGAAATTCCTGAGCATCCATGCGGAAAATTCATAGAAACGTATAACATACAGAATCATTATTAACATTCTCGATTATGCTATTAGATAATTTTTATTAAACCATTAGAGATTGTCATTCGATCTAATGGAGAATAATTGTATTTAAACTAAAATACGAAGGTGCGGAATGCACTTATTTTGTTAATATTCTTAAGGAGCAACAGTATTAACTTTAGAAAAGTTTGGATATCGAAATCAATAGATACAGATACAGATTAACCATCGAGTTAGAATCTATGGAGAAGCTATGAGCATATTAACGTATGTATTAAAAACGGCGAAGGTAGGCGTGGCCAACGATTATACCAATATGGCGGTGGGATCAGGGCCAGATTCAATAATATTAAAACTACTATACAAATATGACTTATTCAGAAGATTTAATCATAATCTAAAAAGTGCAATACATTTTTAATAAATTATGATTTATTTATCCCGCGGTAAACACTAAAAACACGATATATTATACATAAAGATAAATTAATACAGTCAAATACTATTATTTTATTCTCTGAAGTACGGGCGATTACTTTGTTTACATATTTGTATACTAACCTGTGGAACGATATTTCTGAAGATTTTTTATTAACATTGATTCTGCTACTGCAACTACGTTGAGAACAAGAAACCATTATTATGCACTATCACAATAATATATTATTACAGTTTCTATAAAAGTGTTTATAAAACTAAAATATTCGAAAAACAACAAACGTAAACAAACATATACGATCTGTCAAAAGTGTCCAAAACAATCTTAACAATATGGCCGAAGTGAGTCGTTTTTAGTCACGTGATGCCCATTAGCGATGATAGTTTAAGAGTTAATGTGTTTTTTCTAGTCTTTTCACAATCGGAAGTAAAAAATGTGCGCTTTTATATTATGTATAACTATTGTTCTCTTGTTACTGTTGTTCTCTTTCATAAATTTAATATTGTATCATAAATTTACTTTAAAAGATATATTTAGTTACTTAACTATGTCTTGATAATAAACTAAAATAAAAAAATAAAATAAAAGACATACCACATGACAGATCAAACAATTGAATTAGCCTGCTATGGTTTTAATAATAATTCGTCAAATTAAGATTTTATTTTAATACATTTTATTTTATTGTATTCAATTTTATTTCATTTAAATTTAATTTTATTGAATTTTATTTTACTCCATTTTATTCTATTTGATTCTATTTTATTCTACTTTATTTCATTTTATTCTGATACATTTATTTGATTTTAATTTAATTTAATTTTAATTGTATTTTTATTTCTATTTTATTTTAGTTTAATTTTATTTGATTCTTTTTTGTTTTATCCCACTTTATTCCATAATTAATTATAATTTATTTTATTTTATTCTATTTTATTCTATTATTTATTTTATTCCAATTGATTATATTTTGTATTATTTTATTTTATTTAATTTTGTTATATTTTATTTTACTCTATTTTTTTCTACCATAATCCATTTTATTGTAATTTATTCTTTTTTATTTTATTTTAATAAACATGTTCTGACTTATTGCTGAACTTAAAATGAAATCAATATAATACAGTCAGTGCTCAATTTATTAGACTGGCCATAAATTTTTTTTTTGATTTCAGTCGCACTGAATGTATTTCACTTAGATACTAAGGTGTTGAATGGGTTGCATAACTATTGGGTACATATTACTTAGAAAATGGATATAATTTTTCTTAGAATTGTCAAAATTTCTAAGAAAGTAACTAATTGTTTTACATTTTGAGTTTTTTTTAACAGATTAAAACACAGATTTGTGGTAAGTTTATTTATAATTTGCTCTAGTAAGTATTGACATTATTACATAGTAATGTTTACTTTGATTTTGGTTAATTCTTAATCATAAAAAATGTGCTGTATCCCAGTCTTCAGTGAGAAAATTGAGTCAAAGAGAAGCGACCTACATAAAGACTGATCTATTGATGACTGGCGTAAAATAAATTTTTAAAAATTATTTTATTTTCGCACTTTATAATTGTTATTTACATTCACATCGCTTCAGCGATAAAGACAAATTTCAAATTATGGATGACAAGGCCCAGTTTTTCCGAAGACGTCCAGGGGAAAATATGAAAATATGCGTAATTAATACAATTAAACATCCCACTTCAGTAATAATATGATCGGTGATTAGTGGCAAAGGTATGGGACGTTTGTATGTCGTAGAAGGAACCATGCGACAAGACCAATATAAAAGGATTTTGCAGACAAGATTGGTTGCACTAGTGAACGAATGGTTTGATAACAGCCATAAGATATTTATGCAGGATGGACAACCTTGCCATACGGCTAAATTTAAAAAAAAAATTTGTTAGAACAAGAAATTCCGCTCTTACCATGGCCCGGAAACTCACCAGATATGAACCCAATTGAAAATGTTTGGGAGTGCCTAAAAAAAAGTTAGCCAAGGAAATAATTACAAACAAGGTTTAGTTAATGATTAAGGAAATAAATCATTTTCCATTGGAATCGCACTGAAAATTTTAAAGAAATCACACGAAAATGCATAAATAGCCTGCTTAGGATAGTGGCTACACTGCTTAAAGCCAATGGTGGCTTAACAAAATATTAATTTTGTAGAAAAATGTAATAATTTATATTGTTTTTGTTCAATAAATAGGCAAAAAGGTTACTACTATCATTTGTGTTATATTTCTTACTTATACCTAACATAGTTATAATTATAATTGATTATAAAACACAGAAAACTAGAATTTGCTAAGTGAGTCTAATAAATTGGGCAGAGACTGTATGTTGTCAAAAGTTCCTTTTAAGAAAAGGTAATATTTCAACGTTGTCATTGGTAATCGTTCAGTTCTTTGTCCATTCGTCGGAAAAAATAAATTTGTTGTCCATTCACCAGGTGAACAGCTAAATTACAGTGGAATGTCGTTGTAAAGAAATGAAGTTCTCCATGAGGTTCTCCAAACCGTCTTATTGACATATTTTCATCTGATATGTTGAAACTTCATCGTTATTATTTGGAGTAGCGATTCCAAATACTTACAGCTATGTCAATTTATAGTCATAGGAAGGCGCCATCTATCAGTTATAGAGCGATTTAAAATCACAGAAAAATTGTTTTTCATACAGTTGTTTGAAAATAATTTTTTACACAAACCTTGTCTTGATAATAACAATCACAACAAAAAAGAGTATCTAATTTGGTGCAATCGCTCTGAGGTTATACCCTTACAAACATTTCGGCGATTCATTTTTGATTAATGCAGATTACAAAGTTTTTTATATTAGCAAAATGTAGAGACATTATTTTTGTCATTTATAATATCTATGTTTATTAATCAGTGTAAAAGTCATCGTGTGAAAAACCATTGGAAGTTGTGAGTTATAAAGTTTTATGAACGCACAAGATTTTGTCTACAAAATTTATATTTGTTTGTAGATGTTTCTGACAAAAAATTCGAGGAAGTCTAATTTATTGCTATAGGCAGTGTAAAAGATTGTTTCACAACATTCAAGATTTATACTATAGAAATACGTTGTTATCAGTAATTAAAAAGACAAATATAGTTTCTCACCTTAGATAAAAAATCACCAAAAATATTTCAGTTTCTACTTTAAAGTAGTAAATGAAATATCTTATGATTCAGATACCTTTCGTGAATGGTGCGTGTTGAAATATATAGATGTATATTAAAATATGAATACTATATAACAGTAATTTCTGTTTACATGTGGTTTTCTAAATTTGCTAATTTTTTATATTTTTTCAGGACCCGATTCAACACCCACATCTCCAGAAAAGAATAGCAACTTTGATCTCACTAGAAGTAAATCTCTTTCATATTCAGCAAGTTTAATATCCAAAACAGGTAAATATTATTTTCCGCTCAAACATTTTTTTTTTAATTTTATTTGTTATTCCCTGTGTTAGTTAAATAAAACTAAAGTTTTACATTATTCTTAAATGTTATTTAAGGTACGTGACAAATAAATCATAAAGTAGATACACAAATATGTAATACACAAAAATGAAGTGTAAACCTCATCCTCTTATGTGGCATTTCAGGTTGAGGTTGGGGTTGAAGAACATTCAGGAAAAATCTGTTTTTATTTTGGTTTGATGTTAGTCAAGTCTCTTATATTTTTAAGCCACGATTTATTTTTTCAACCCAAGCTTCGTTTCCTATTTATTTTCCCATAAGTATACGAGGTGTGTTCAAAAATTATCCGGAATTTTCGTTTTTATTATTTTTAAAATATTTATTTATTCGTCTACATTAATATTATCTCCTTCAAAGTAGTCCCCAACATATATTATGCACTTATGCCAATTATTGAAACACTTCTCAAACTCGATCTTTGGAATAGCCTCTAGTTCTATCAGCGATGCGCTTTTAATGCCCTTATACAGTTTTCTTTACTTATGTAAATTGGAAAAAGTCATACGGAGCCATGTCTGGCGAATATGGAGGCTGGGGCATCATTACAGTATTGTTTTTGGCCAAAAATTCATAAACAAGCAATGAAGTGTGAGCTGTGCAATATTGTGATGCAAAAGCCATGAGTTGTTTTCCACAAATTCGGTCTTTTTTTCGGATTGCTTCACGCAAACGACGTTGAACTTATAGGTCGTACTCTTTCCGTTTTACCTCGTGGCAAAAATTCATGGTGCACTATGCCATTAAAATCAAAGAACACAGTGAGCAGAACCTTGACGTTTGACCGCACTTTTTTGGTCTTGATGAAGCTAAATGTCTCCACTGGGATATTTGAACCTTAATTTTGACGTCATATCCTTCTTCTTCATCTCTTTTTTATGTGGACATGACTCTGTCTGTTTTTCAATGTGCCTCCAGTAAGTTGTCATTCCATCGTTTTCGTGGTCTTCCTACTGATCGTTTTCCTATTGGGGAATTGTCTCTTGCTGTCTTTACTACTCTATTTGTTGTTATTCGACTTATATGATCGTTTCATTCTACGCTTCTATTTTTTAGCCAGTTTTTGATGTTCTTCACCTTGCATCTAGGTCATATATCTGTACTTCTAGCTCTGTCCCTTAGTGTCTTGCCATCAATTTTTCTAGTGTTTTCTTCTCTGCTGTTTCTAACATACTTTTTGTCATCTTTGTGTCTGATCGTGTTCTACGCGTATGCTATTATTGGTGCGATTGAAATTCTTCCTGTAATTACCAAGAGCGCATTTTTCTTTATATTTCCAGATGTCATTTAGACATCAGCGGCAGGCCCAGGATTACTTCTTTAGTTCCTTTTCCCTTTCTATAATAATTTTATATTTGCTCAGATGGTTTGCTTCTTTTATTGATTCCGACGTAGGCAGATCTTAAACAGATCTACTGGAGTGCCCCTATTTAGTATATGTTGTTAAAATGATATGTTAATTGTTTAACAGCTCAGTCACTGAAGTGTTTGAAATGTTTAACTAGTTTGGAATTTTCTGTCAGAGTTTTTGTAACAACTCTGGAGGAGTATACAATATTTGGAAGCAGGTGCAAGTTATTTTCAATGTTTTGTAGTTAAGAGAGAATGACGACATAACTTCACTTGACGAAGTCTACGTTTATTTTAATTTTTTAAACGTAGGTAAAGTGTATTATTCAATGAACCTATTGCTTAAGCAATAGTTATAATTTGCTTAAGCAAATTAGAACTTAGAAATGTATAATCGTGACACTTAAAATTATAAATAATATAAACAATACTAGATATTTGTACGATACACAATATTTACCCGAAATGCTACTCCTTATCCCGCTACAGGTTTAACTCCGTATTGCACTTTGTTTAGCCTATAGGCCGTAGGAGTTCCGTTTTTAAGATAACAAGATTATATTTGTTGACTTAAGTTGCTATCATGCGATCTATGATATCTGAACACTTTTTGGAACAGTTTTTCTCATATTGGTTTTTGTTTGGCGAGGTTAAGTTTATACACAGCATTCTTCATATTCTATTAAATATATATTTCTGAGTTTAGATTAACCTCTGACCGCTATTTATGTATATATATATCTGGTGATCTTTATGTAGTTTCTGTAGTTTATCTTATCATATATTTTAACACCTATTGTTCTTGTACCTCTTTTATCTGTTTCTTAATCTTATTTACCCTTAAGTCGGTTATATTCCTGTTCATTACAAAATAGTAATCATAGTTGAAGAAAATTTTGAGTATTGTCATAATCGGAAAATGTACTGACCACTTTGAGATTACAAAAAAAAAGAAATGGAAGATTTCGGATGAGATGGAGTGACGCAAATTTGATGGATGACAAGGCATAGAAGAAGTAACAGCATTCTTCTTTGACAGTGTCTTTTTCTCTCGGATCTCGTTTATTGTTTTTTTATTATACCTACATTGTAACGTTTTACCATATTTTAGATTTTATATAATTATATTTTGTTATTTTAGAAACAGAAACCAGCAAACATGTAACTAAATCAGTGTCCGTACTTAAACCAGACGACGATACCACCTTCAAATCGTTCTTCAAGAGTTTTGAGCATTTTGACAACAAAGAGCAATTGGACGTGTCTCTGGAAGACTTCGATGCCATAAAAAGACAACCGTTGTTGGTGATTAAGAAGAACGTGCAGGTCCAGAGGAGGAGAGGCGCTTCCAAAAATCCCATAAAAGTTCTTGCCGCCAGATCGGACATCTCGGATGAGTATACCGAAGTCATTACTGGAGTTGCGGAGAGAGAGAAAAAGAGACTTAATATTGAGAAATGTAAGTATTTTTAGCTTACTACTAATAACTAAAACTATATAAATAAGCTCTAGCTCGCTTATATTTCTTCTTTGTTGTTGTTAGTGATGGTTGCTCTTGACCACCTCGAAATTATGGTCATTTAACGTTATCAGTGCTCATTCGCTGTCGTTTCTTTATTTCGGTGTTTTCTTGAGTGGCTTCTGAACATTCAGCAGTTCTTGTTAACATATTCATCACATCTTTCGATTATTTTATCGATTTTCGATTCCATTTTTATCTCTAACAAAGTCCTCTCTTGCATTATCTTACTTGAATGCGCAAATAATAATTAACAAAAGTATTTCTCGAACGTTTCGCTACAATTGTATGTAGATTCTTCAGGAGAACAAAGACAAAGAAATCAAAAGACAGGAAGATGGGTAGTTAGCAACGGTAAACTCAGTTACTCAACGCAACCATGAGGCGAATACTAACCACCAAGATGGGCATTTGGTCACAGTAAACTCAACTACTTAACGCAGCCAGAGGTGAAAACCAAATGCCAGGACAGGGATTCACGTCCAACAGCTCAGAACACTAACGCGTTCGAGAGGCGGGGAGTGAATCCGACGATTACTCCGCTACCGCTCTATTTATAGTCGCGGTGACCTGTCGTGTCGGGACGTATCGGCACACTCCGTGGCGCGAACGTCAAGAAGGGCGCGCTGGCCAATCATGTGGCTGCATCGTGGTAGCGGGACCGGACGGCGGCTCTAGACTGAGATTCCATGATGGGAGACAAAGTAGTATCCTTCCTCTCGATTGATATTATGTGGATTTTTTCGGATCTCTACAGATTCGCGGATTTTCCTGGAATAAAAGAAGGGGCTCTTGAGTCTTTTTTCTATAAAAACACGAATCGTTACCTACATACTTCATCACACCACCATCCTGCCCAAAAGAATTCTGTGATCAACTCTCTCATCCATCGGGCCATTTCGATTTCTGAACCTGACAACCTTAGAGAAGAACTTGACCATCTGCAAAAAACCCTTGTCGCCAACGGTTACTCCAAGTCCACAATTCAAAATATTACACACCGACATCTACATCCCCCTTTACACCCTAGGACGACAAATTCAGAATCTTCGGGTAATACTCCTGTGGCTTTTCTTCCGTATATTCGAAGTGTCACTGATAGGATTGGCAAAATTCTTCGCAAAGAAGGTATCAGGACTACTTTTCGACCACCCAAGAAAATCTCACAATATCAACCCTCTCCTAAGGACCCATCACCGTCCCTATCTTCCTGCGGTGTCTATTCTATTCCTTGTTTATGTGGACATGTGTATATTGGCGAAACTGGTCGTTCCGTCAAAACTCGGATTCAAGAGCATCAAAGATGCATTCGATCAGGTCTTTTCTCCCATTCTGCAGTTGCAGAACACTGCCAAGAAACCGGTCATTCCATATTGTTCGAAAAAACCCATATTATTTCTAAGAGCCCCTTCTTTTATTACAGGAAAATCCGCGAATCTCTAGAGATCCGAAAAAATCCACATAATATCAATCGAGAGGAAGGATACTACTTGTCTCCCATCTGGAATCTCAGTCTAGAGCCGCCGTCCGGTCCCGCTACCACGATGCAGCCACATGATTGGCCAGCGCGCGCTTCTTGACGTTCGCGCCACGGAGTGTGCCGATACGTCCCGACACGACAGGTCACCGCGACTATAAATAGAGCGGTGGCGGACTAATCGTCGGATTCACTCCCCGCCTCTCGACGCGTTAGTGTTCTGAGCTGTTGGACGTGAATCCTCATCCTGGCATTTGGTTTTCACCTCTGGCTGCGTCAAGTAGTTGAGTTACTGTAACCAAATGCCCATCTTGGTAGTTAGTATTCGCCTCTGGTTGCGTTGAGTAACTGAGTTACCGTTGCTAACTACCCATCTTCCTGTCTTTTGATTTCTTTTTCTTTGTTCTCCTGAAGAAGCTACATACAATGGTAGCGAAACGTCGAGATGAACCCACTTTTGGTTCACTCACAAATGACACGGTCCAAACCCGGAAGACGAATAAACTATAATGCTGACTCTGGCCGTGGAAGCCTACGATTTCATGTATTTCTTTGTAGGTTATGAACTTTTGCTTAACTACTGTTTTTTGTTTTTAGTGGCCAAAAATTCTAATAAAGCCTTAGAAGCCTTGGCCGGTTTGGCAAGTACCGAAAACTTCAAATCCGTCGCCTTGAAAAAATCAACAAATCCAATCGGTTATCAACCTTGGAAAGACGTTATGCTTATGCAAGTTAAAGGTCGAAGGCACATCCAAACAAGGCTAGTGGAACCAAACGCCAGAAGTATTAACGAGGGTGACAACTACATCTTAGTAACTTCGAAAGCTCTTTACACCTACTCGGGTGCCTACTCAAATGTGATAGAACAATCCAGGACTTCCGATATAGTCAACCATATCCAAAAGACGGGAGACATGGGATGTAAAGTCAGCAGGGTACACAGTATTAGCAGTAAAGATAAATCTAAATACGCTATGGAATTTTGGAAGATTTTGGGAGCGGACAGTATACCGGATACTGTAGGAGCTGGACATCCAGACGAAGACGAAACCTATGAGTCAAATATACTTCACACCAACATGATATATACCTTGGAAAACGACGAATTGGTACCATACGATAAATATTGGGGAACCATACCAAAAGTTGAAATGTTGAAAGATACTAATATCATAGTTTTTGATTTTGGTTCGGAAATGTACGTATGGAGTGGAAAAAATGCCGTCTTGGACAGAAAAAATCTGGCTCTTAAACTCGCTAAAGAAATGTGGTTTGAGGGCTATAACTATTCTGACTGCAATATTTGTCCATTAAATATTGCTTCCATATTAGGCGCTAGATCACAAGAGTCGTTACCTCTTAAAGCCGACAAAAGACCCGAATGGTCTCTCTTTGCCAAAATAACACAGCATCGCGAAACTGTTCTTTTTAGAGAGAAGTTCCTAGACTGGCCAGATTTTTCTAGGGTAATTAGAGTAAGGAGCGACGAAAATATCAAAGAAGTGAGCGCTTCTATTGACATTAAATCATGCGACGTTATCGAGATGATTACAGAAAAAGATAAAGAACCAGATTTAATTGTTGAAAAAAATACGCATTTAGGCCGTGGAGACTCATATTTTGACGAAGAATCCAGTCGACTTTTTGAGTATGAATCTCTAAAGATTAAAGGTTGGCGAATTTTGGAAAACAGCTACGAAGAGCTACCCGAAAAGTCTTTGGGTCAGTTTTATGACGGCGACAGTTACATCTTTAGATGGGATTTTAGGCAAACTGTTAAGGGAAGAAGGTTAGGCGGAGACCCATCTAAACACTTAGCTGTAGGGAGGGACCGGTGTATTTTCTTCTGCTGGCAGGGAAGCAACTCTTCAACGAATGAGAAAGGCACTGCGGCTTTCCTCACAGTGGAATTGGACAAGCAGGTTTGTATGATTATATATTTTTATAAAAATTTATTTATCACGAAGTTTATATTGTTATTGAAAGTCTTAGAGAAGTACGGAAGACCCAGATTGATAAAAGTTCAGCACAGACTGTAGCGTTTTCATTTTTCTAGTAGTATTAGTTATCAATAGTAATCGAAAAATTTAAGGAAGTTTTCAGTTTAGCAGCGAAACGCATGAGCTCATAATTTCCATTGCCGCAATCGAAGCTAAGATAATAAAACAAAACACTTCCGATATCGTCCTGTTACATCATATTTATAGACCATATACCACGATTACTGAACGTATGGAACAGTGGCTTTGTTTTAGATACGCCGCTAAATGTCTTCGAATCAGAAAGTAAATTAGAAAATTCCAAATAAATTTATTCTGGCTGTATGTATGATCATTCGAAATATGTTTCTGTAAAGCCCTAAATGATTCCTTTAATTATCATAACCAGATTTACACCACGGATATTAATGTTTGCCCCTATTTGTCGAAAGTAAGAACAAGGCCAATAGAAAAGTTTGTTTTTTATACCACTCCCGGTAACCCATGAGTACTTGCTGTACCAATTATTCGAAAATAATCTATTATTTCCCTCACCCCTGCTTTAATTATTTATTTATAGGCAGAGACATTTTATCCAAAGGACGCCTCTTATTTTTAATATCAATGTGTTCTTCGTATGGAATAGAATAGATAAAAAATCCATTTTGCAAAATATAATTTAAAATACCTGCGTCCCTGGGTAAAATCGAAGGACGCAGAGGAATTGGTAGAAAACATGACTTTGGTAGAAGGATATCAGGGAGTGGACAGGAATAAAGAAAGCTGAGCAACTCTTTAGAATAGCTCGAGACAGAGACAGTTTCGCTACGTTAATTGCCAACGTAAGGGGACTTGATAGGGCACGTTAAGAAGATGAATTTAAAATATCAGATTTTATCAGTACTTAAAGTTGTTCCCATAGCTTGCATTGGTTCATTTACGTGAATTTGTTTACACTTTAATTTTATAAAAGAAAAAACTTCAAATATATCAAAATACCCTCCAACTATGTTGAAAAATCAAAACAAATCAATACAAAACGACGAACATTGTTGTTCTGGTATTGTATCGATCGATACAATACCAGGAAACCCAGCCAGTGTACTATCTTTTTACTACTTAAGTACGTATCCGGAAATAACATTTCATCCCGCGCTCGCAAGGCACTTGAAACTTTGCGACCAATCCAAATTAAGCATCGGCATCGGCAGATTCAGAATTGTAGTACCTACCATTTAAATGCGTACGTAGAGAAATGTATGTTTGGTTGCGTATCGACTAATATTCCGTTGATATTTACATGTAAATCGTCAGCCTGGAGTCGGCTTGCCGATACGGGTCTAATAAGAATTCACACAGTCGTATGGATGACTCGGATCTCGGATCATTAATTTGAAAAGTTGATCTGCAGAGATCACTTAACGCTCAGATTGGTCGAATTCTTTTAAAACCCATAAATAATGTATAATCTTACATACATTTTTTTTATTTCACAGAACCAAATGACATTAACTTATTACATGCGATAATTAATTATTGAAATACTGATTCAATTAACTATTAAAAAAATCTATATCTATAAATATGTGGGTCACTGCCGACCCTAACCGACCGCCACTGATATGGAGCAATACAACTACGTTATAAGATATTAGACGAAGCCGATATTGGGGAATATCTGTCATCAACTTTCTTTTCGTTCCTGTTGTATCTGTTGACGTTTGTTTTTATTTATTTTGTTTATTTGTATGGAATAGACTTTGTAGAAATTTACACAAATTAAACCTTAACAATACCATTACAATTTTAGAACGCGCCTCAAATCAGGGTCGATCAGGGATCAGAACCAGCAGCATTTTTGAGACTCTTTAACGGAAGTATGATTATAAATAGAGGCAAACGAGATGGAACTGAAGCATCGGGCAGGCCAAGATTGTATATACTGAGAGGGGAAAAAGTTAACGAAATTTACCTGATGGAAGTTCCTTTAGCAATGAGTTCCTTGCGAAGTAGATCTTCGTTTGTTATCGTTGACGTCGAAGGCGAACAGGTTAGTATTTAAAGTTTTATTTTAGATTGATTTAAAAAAAAATTCAACTCAAAAAATCTCCGTTTATCTATTTCTTTCCCATTTAATACTTTATTTTAATTACTTATTACATATTAACATATTAATTAAAATCATTATATATCATCATAAAACATTTAATTTTAAAATACACTGTCATTTTAAGACATTTTAGACCTCTTAGACTTTTAGAACTTTGCTTATTATTAAATCTATCTTTACCACCTTACATCGTTATATGTATACATGAGTATACATTCATTTACTATATTCATTATATTTACTATATCTTTGCAACTATCATTAGTCATGTCATACCACACCTCATTAGCTCTTTAAATATCCTTTATTTCGTTTACCATTTAAATCCAATATACCGATATGGCCAGTTTTCAACTACCATATCCGTTATTCAGTATGTGGAACAAATTCACTTAATTCACAAATTCACTTAATTGTTTGAATACGAATGAGACACAATCCAAGCATGTTGGAGTAGCGAGTAACTTTAGCGTGTAACATAATATTTAAATCCACTACAGTTTATTGTAGAATAAAAATTAATATTGCCCCAACAAAACCTACATGAAGTAATCATGTATCTGTTAGTTTTTAAACGATTATATCATTACTTGATTCATTAACAAAGTTCACTGAATCAAAAAATTGATATGTGACAACAGCGTGAGCTAAATCAATAAGGCACTTCAGTAGACAGACAGATAGTATAAACGGTGTACCCCCTCTACGAGTACATCATTTCTCCTCAAATCAATAGGCGGTGCTTATCTGTACAGCAGCTTTATGGTCTATCTATTTGATTTTTAGCTGTGGTCTTAAAAGGTTGAAAATAAATAATTAACATGCAGTAAAACTCGGCAAGGTATCCGATAAAATGGACTTGTCGGACGCCATATAGGAAGAATTCGTGAATTATTCCGAGCAAAGTATCGGCATTTCTTCTTTTCGACAGAAATAACGAAAAAGCTCGCAGTGTTTTGCTTATATCCGCCAAATATCCATTAACAGGCATACAGACCCTTTTATTGTAATTCTTTCTACCAAATTTTGCTTCGTCAATTTCCGCAATGCAGCCTGGGTCTCCTAGTTGGTTTTAAATTCCCAACTCACGCTGCATGATAGCTTCACGTGAAAGCTTCAAATGCAAAAAAGCGGACACTAGCATAAATATTTTGTCTAACGGTAGTTTATCATGTTCAAAAAATGTTCCTTTTCTTGTCGAAAAAACAAAATTCATGCTTTTTAGAAGATTGTTTCTTCATCACGAGTTTTTGTTGCATCTAAAAGCCGTCTTACCGTCTATTTTTAAGAATTTCCACATCGGCATACTATCACTTCCTTTATGAACTCGTGGTTGAACTCGAGCTGCTGTTCAATTTTTGCCACGAAACAATTTTCCGAAACTTTCCAACCAGAACTCTCAATTTTTTTATCGCGTTATTCGGGAAGAAATGATTATATGCCCCATGCCCCCCTCGTTAGAGATGCAACCATTATTACCAAGTTTAGATGTTCGCAGCAATATTTCTGTACCATATTATTGTTTTAGGCATGTATTTACGTGTAAATCTAGAAACACGTTGAAACCAAGAATTTTCATTAAATTTAAGTTCAAAATCCAATCAATAAGGCACTTCAGTGGCTTATTGATTGGATTTTTTGCAAAATATAGCAATTTTTCCAAATATACTGCCTACGTATTAATAAAAACATATCCGTATTTCCTTATTTAATATTGTTTGATGATTTATATGGCAACACTGCAAACAGAAAATTGAAGTTAGCTACATAACCATTACTATAGTTTTATTCATAGACATACAATACAAATAGACTGACTGTTGCATTACAGGCCCGTTTCCCCAGTGCGGGAGAGAAAACTGGCGCAAAGCAGTCCCTGTATCTTTTTCTAATGGGCCGGGTTTGTCGACCACGTGACCTAAATGACCAATGGAAAGGTCATGTGGTCTATAAACCCTGTCGATTAGAAAGAGATGCATCGACAGCTTTACGTCAGTTTTCTCTGTCGCTCTAGGGGAACGCAACTGTACAGCAGCGGTCAGTCTATTTGAATTATATATCTATGGTTTTATATGAAAATGAAATATAATCTTAGTAACCTATTTTTAAAACCCTACCTAACCTGAACCTCTTAACAAACAATATCTTGAGGACCTGTCAATTTTAACAAAAATTTGCACTTCCTCCAGACCTAATCAGTTGTCCCCCTTTCGAGCAGGGAATATTTTCTTCATGTTAAGTCTTATAACATCGACTTAGTGTCATATACTTTTGGACATTTTCATTATTTTAATATTTTAAAATTAATTATACCAATTACACTAGAATTTATTTTACTTCATTGTAAAAGTTAAGTTTTTTAACTTTTCTCCTTAATTATTTGCCTATTGAAAATGGACTCACATTTGCAAACAATTCATCATTTAATTATGTTATTCTTTACTAGGTTATAATTTGGAATGGTATTAAATCAACCGATCAAAAAAGGCTTGTGGCCAAAACGGCCGTTGAAAACTTAATGAAAAATAAACCCTCCGAACTAAACTTGGACCAATTCGATGAGGATTTAGACATAATTGAACTAACAGAAGGTTCTGAATCAGAAGATTTCTTCAGCATAATCGGCGCTGAAGATAGAAATAGCTACTACTCACTACAGAACAACGAAGAATCCTTCGATCATACCATGAGGCTTTTCAGGATGACCAGCATTACCGGCGATTTCGTTGCCAGTGAAGTATTGTGTCCGCATAGAAGTGAACATTCTAGTCCGTACCCGTTTGTGCAATCCGAATTATATTCTTCTAGTCAACCAGGTAATATGTTTAAACAGTTTTTCTTGCTCATCTTAAGGGGACAGTCTCATGCGATTAAAAAAAAAAGACACATTTTAAAATAAAAACAGAAAAAAAACTATAATATTTATTAACATAATTCGTTTTGGAGATGATTAAGTAAGTCTTGAAGTACATAAAAAAAATTTAATAGCGATTTTAACTTCATTAGTGTCCTGTAGATGGCGTGTAGTAAAAAGTGCGTTTTTGGTGGTAAGACACTTTGTGGGTCACCTGTAACAGATATTCAAAAAATTCAAAATGGGTTGTATTCGTGAGACTCAAAACTAGATGATAAACCTTTAAAATATGCAAATTGTATTATTTTGAAGAGTTTATACGAATTTTTTCAAAAAAGTCGAAAAATCGCTATATTTTTCGGTGGATTTACCCATATATAATAAAAGAGGGGGTGGTTTTTAAATATTTTAAAGGTTTATCATCTAGTATTTTGTATGTACATTCGAAAAATTTTTGGTTTTTTAAAATCGGTTAAGAAGGTTCGGAGAAAAGTGTCTGACCAGTTTGAAAATGTTACTTTTGAGAAAAAAGCATTTAAAGTTTTTTTTTTACATAATTTTCGTGAATAAAAGGCTGATAACTTTATACTCACGTTTAATCGGCCATTCCTGGTGAATATTGAGGACCCTCTTCATCCAACAGTTGTTGTAAATGGCTTTGTAAAGCTGTAAATTTCAATACAACGTCGCGATGTTTTATAATTAATTCATTTGTTCATGTTCGACTGGAGTCTCAATTCACGCCGCGATGCTGCCAGTGTAAGTGTAAAAACGGAACACACCCAGATCGCATGTCAATTCAACGAAAACGTACTTATTTATAAATGTAGATATGAAAATACTTTATAACTAAAAAAATGGTTATGTTTTATTGCCAAAACGGCTTGAAAAAAAACTTGATTTCTAAAATAAAAAATAAAAAGGAATTTTAAAAATAAAATAATTATATTACTCTTTTTAATTTGAAATTATAAACAATATTTGGAATAATAAATGTATTTAAGTATAAATTTTATAACTCAAATAATACCTAATGAACACAAACAAAATTCATGTTAATAAAACATTATTTATTATCTGCACAAAACCGGACTTTCAGGAAAAATCGGTTAGACGGAGCAACACTGTCGGCGTGCCATATACGCTACTATCGGCGTGCCATATACGCTACTATAAACCGCTAAGGAGAAGTAATCCAGTGGAACAAATAAATTTACACTGGTTAATTGCAACGCAGAGAATCTTAAGGCGCGTACAGATATGCGAGCCAAACGGTATACGAACGGTACGCGTACAGCTCGTTGAAAATATATCTACATCGAACGGTTCGCGAACATCTCGCGAGCCATGGAAAGCGAAAACCAGCAACGAACACACATGTGCGAAATGATTAATTTTATTTATAATTTGGGTACTGATTTATTGTGTTTCTGTTTCTCATCTATATATATATATATATATATATATATATATATATATATATTATATATATATATATATATATATATATATATATATATATATATACTATATAATGTAATAGAGTCCCTAGTATAGGCTAGAATAAATAAAAAATTTCAAAAACTTCAACCGACTCCAAAAAAAAACAATTTGGGAGATTTGTTACAACCCACAAAAGTTTCCTCTACACACATAAATAAGTCACGTTCAATAATGTAAATCAAGACATCATTTGCTTGTTTAACAAAAATAAAAATATGTACAATAATCCGTTTACTGTTTTTTCACGTCTTTCTAGGAAGGAACACGTCATTCATACAATTTCGATTTGATGAGACAATAAAAATGTTCGCTGCGTTTAGTAGCGCCGTCCAAACTGAACGACGAGCTTCCTTTGAAGTCGTGGAATAAACCGCCACAATTTGGTTCGCGACGAGCAACGAACGAACAGTTCGCGAGCAGTTTTGTCTGCCGTACAAATTAACGAATATTGTGTTCGCGAACCGTATGCATACCGCTCGGCTCGCATATGTGTACCGAGCTTTAGTATTTGTAAAAAAATCCTATGTTCCGGATTTAAAATTCCAAATCCAAATGGGTATAGTAAACGCCAAACGTTATACAGATATACATACTATATAAAAATTAATCACTAATACATACCCAACGTATATACAACATATATACAAAAGCAAGAACAGCTGGAGCCTCGCGCTCGCCGCGCGGAGAGAATCCGGTTTTCACACGTGCGTAGATGACGTTAATAAAATAACTATAACTTATATTCTAGTGGGAATTTCTTTTTAAAATTTTAGGAGGGAGTTTTTGAATGTATATGGAAGCGATTTATATATAAAAAAAATAAAATTGATTTTTTGAAAGTTTCGCATGAGACTGTCCCCTTAAAAAGAACCAATTTTAGATAGATATGGATTTTAATTTAATACATATACCTTCATACCATACATATTATCCTACAGTATAATGTCTTCTATTTTTGTAGCTCTATTTTTGATCGATAACCACCACGAACTGTGGTTATGGCAAGGGTATTGGCCCGAGAAAGACGACGACAACGATTCAGATTTAAGCGACCAGACCGGATCAGGAGCTGTTCGATGGCAAGCTGAAAGGAAAGCAGCGATGCAGACAGCAATAGACTATTGGAAACAGACTAACGGTGATAAACCGATGATTGGATATTTAGTGTGGGCCGGTTTGGAGCCATTGCAGTTTAAAAATATGTTTCCTGCTTGGGAGGATAGGCCTGATGTCATGGAACTTAACAAAAAGGTACAGATAAGTTTAAATTATATTTATAATGTGTAATACTTTGTATAAGATCTGCATCGAACAAATTGACAAACATGTACCTAACGTACATGTACTCTTTCTTAAGTTCTATCATTAAGGAAATTTTGTTTCCCTTGTATTTTCCAATACCTAAAGGTTTTCTATATTTGGGAGCACATCTTCAAAACATACTTTATTGTAGACTATTTTATATACCATAATAATTAGGATCCAATCAGTTTCTTCATCTTTTTAATATTGCTACTTATTCTTTGACTCTAAAAATCTTCTTACCTCTGAAAATTCCTCTGATTTGACAATTTCCTCTGTATCCTTTATTAAATCCTCTGGATTTCAGGATTCTATATTGAAGCTTCAGATTCAGGATATTAAGTGTCTCAAAAAAGTCAGACAAATATGCCAAGTAAAAGATATTTTTATCATCTGTAAATCTTCTGTGAAGATCTTGTTTTGAAGTCGTTAACAAAATTTCAACTTCTGACTGTAAATTTAATAATCTTGCAAGCATATTTCTTTTGGATAACCACAAAACTTCTGTATGAAACAGGAGGGTTTCCTAATCACTATTCAGTTCTTGACATAGTGCCTGAAAGAGCCTAGTGTTTAATGCGCTGGATTTGATGTGGTTAACTATTTTAATTGCTAAGTTTAATGTGACGTTAAGAGGTTCAGGTAAAGTCTGACTAGCTAAAGCTTGTCTGTGACTAATGTAGTGAGAACCAATTATCCTAGGGTTCTTCTTTTTTCCAATTCCATAAATCCAGATCGACATCCTGTCATGGCTTGGGCCCCATCTGTACACATGCTAATTACTTTCTTCCATGGAAGGTTATTAATTTATCTCCATCCCGAATGTTTCGAATTGTTTCATACGAAATAATAATTGTGTTTTATGTATAACAATATTGGCCAAAAGTGCGTACTTAATTTTTTAGATGTTATTGTTAATAAACATATCTTATTTGAGGCATTTTTAACTTTTCTCTTTGTCAACCATTTTCCATCCACTTCTGAATGTAGGTCTCTCCTAATTGCTTCCATCTTTCTCTATCTTGCGCCAATCCAATCCACTGTTTGCCTGCCACTGCTCTTATGTCATCTACCCATCTTTTTTGATGTCTTCCCATGCTTCTTGTTGTCGTCCTTTGTGTCTATTCTAGAATTCTCCGTGTCCTTATATCGGGCTGCGTGACCTACCCAGCGCCATATCATTTTTGTAATTTCTTCCACAATATCCCTAATCTTCGTTCTACGTCTTATCTCGGTGTTTCTCTGTATTATCTTGTCTCTCAGTGATATTCCAAACATGATTCGTTCCATTGCTCTTTGCGTTGTTTCTAATTTTTAGCAGATTTTTTGGTAAGAGCTACTGTCTCCAAGCAGTAGGTACAAACTGGTAGTATACACGTGTTATACACATATTTCTTTTTTAGAAATACAGTTTACAGGAATGGAGGTGTTTTTCAAATATATGCTAGTTTGCCGAAAGCGCCCCATGCCAGTTGTGTTCTTCTTTTAATTTCAGCATGTTGATTTGGTTTTCCTAGTTTGATGACATGACCTAGATATACATAATGTTCAACATTTTCTGTTGTATGATTTTGTATTGTTATATTTGTCTGGTCTCGGCTCAATATTTTTGTTTTACTGTAGTTCATTTTTAAGCCTACCGCTCTTGAAAACTGCATTTAATTGCATGAAATTTAATTTGAATTAAATTTTTAACTGGTTTTAATAAAAAAATTCGGAAAAATTATTGTTTTTCATTGTTTGGCCGTTAATGGGTTAACACTCTACTTTTAAAACTTTGATCGAGTATTTCAAAGAGATTGGGCCGTGGTTTTCAATTATGTATACCCGAGTTAACGGTGGATAGTTACAACACTTGCCGCATCGCTGTTGGCAATGTTGACTGCTGTCAATCAAGAAACAATTCTAGACTATGATCTATAAACTTGTAAAAACGTATCGGTACTTTGATCATTTAAAATTAAAATTTTTTCCACCTATTTGTATCAGAATTTTATTTGAAACGTTATTTTCTTATTTTCTGGAATATTTATTGATTTATTTTTGTTACAGGAAGGTAAAACTGAAGGCGAAATATTATCCATCGAAAAAGAATTAGCTCTGTTGTCTCGAACGACTTATCCTTTAACGGAGCTTCTTCAGAGGCCTTTACCCGAAGGCGTCGATCCCACGAATATTGAAAAATATTTGTCAGCCGAAGATTTCCAAGAATTACTCGCCATGACCAAAGAGGAATTCGAAAAGCTTCCCCCTTGGAGGAAGACCGCTCTGAAGAAAGAAAAAGGACTTTTTTGACCGTTGTTTACGTTTTTCGTCGAATGTCTTATGAGTGGATGCTTTGATTATTCAAAGCCCAATGATTTTATTTAATGTTGTGATTTTGTTCTGTTATATTATGTACTACAAGAAGTGTTGGAAAGCCAAAGTGTGACGTTAGTGGTATTATTGCATTCACATTTCAAATAAAGCACCAGACCTTTTAAAATATATAGTGGGGCAACTCATCCCTTTACAGTTTGTTTTTTCTAAATTTCTTGTAGTTACTGTAGTGGTGATATATTTTGTCTTTTTTTATTTTTAAAACATATCAAATTTTAGTGGCTTCAAAAACTTTTAACCAAATTGCAAAGTGTCTGCCATATTTTTGTAAAACTTAATATTCTAAATTTGATATAATCACGTCATTATATTGATACAAATGATGACGTTGCATAATAAACATTTCTAGGTTATTGTAACTTTATGACTGGTTTGTCAAAGACTTGTTATTTCCACATTTACCTAATGAAGTGGTAACTTTAACAACTTTAAACATTCTTAACAAGTATTTTGGACTTCACAATAAAAATAATTTTTATTTATACTGTTTATGTATTATTTAACCTAGTTTTGGAAAATATCTGCTCTTTTTTTCACTGTTCGAACCACTCCGGCAATGCATTTTTCTATTAAAAGAAGTTCTCATGTTGATCTGATCAATACTCAAACAAAGTGTCACAACCATGTAATACATGCTGTGTAAAGGCCCTGAAACCAACGTTGCATAGTAGAATCTAGATAGATGGATCGTTTGGCATGAAAGATTTTTCCACGCTGTAATCTGAAATATTGAGACTTTCAGAGTCTTTAACGCCTGCCATCGGGCCTCTTTGGAGTTAAGACTTTACTTCAACATGTGCTTAAAGCCTTTCGTGCTAGTATCCTGTTGCATACGCTGTTGATATTGATCGCGGTTTTGATAACCAATTTTCATCTTCGAAATGATGGTGTTCATTCGGAAGTCTCCGGACCATTGGGACTGTTTTGTTTGTTCCTGGTCTATTCTTGTATCACGAGGGAAGTGTGGTCTCTCCTGGTAGAGCCCCATGTCGGAAGAAATCCTGTATGCCCTGATGAGTATGCCCTGAGACACAGAGTTCAGTCGTACTCACCTCGCAAAATTAGCGACCACGTTTGACTATATATTTGACCTCCACAAAGGTCAAAAATAAACTCTCAGGGCTCTCAGAGGGTACTTCACATAGTAGCAAGGCAAAACACTGCCTACAAAGAAACAAAAATCCGACCTTTTGAAAGAAACAAGGGATTTAAAGAAAGAAATATTTTGTCCAAACGTGATTGATGCGTTACCATTTGCGTTTATCATAGTCTTAGATGCTATTAAAGGACATTTAAATCAATATAAAGAAAAAGTTAAATTAATAGTGAAAGTTAGAGATGCATTAGTGGACTGTTGATTTAACAGAGCTTTCAGAAACCGGTTATTAATGTGTTATGAAAAGACATTTTGTAAAATATGAATGTAATTGTTGTATCGATGCCTCTTAGAGAGTCCTAATTAATCAACACAAAGTTTAATGATATTTTACAAAATATCTTCACATTTTTTACTAATTAGACAACTAGGTGTGGACGTATAAACAATTTTGAAGCATTTTTGAGCTTAATAAGGACGTTTTATAGTTTTTTACTGTTTTTTGAAACTGCCATTTAAGAAATTAGCTTTTGTATTTACATCAAGTGAGTACTTAAATTCGTTTATTTGAAAATCAAATAAAAGATCAAAATTTCTTGAGTTGTGGTATAATTTTTGTTGTTATAGGTAATTAATTTCTTTATGAATTTTGTTTTAAAAACATCCAAAACTGAATCTTACAAAAACTGCCCAAAATAAGTAATTTTGAGTTAATTTTTACACTTTTTATGTACTTATATCCTTGCCAACTCTAAGAGTTCCGTCTAGAAATTGTCTGGGATCCTCTTTAACTGTTACGCTTTTAGTTGGTTTTTGCTGGTGTTTATATCCCGTCTATATTGTTTCCATTATTTTGTTAATTAAGTTTTGCAGCCCTTCTATGGTATTGGAAAACACTATTTTATCATCTGCATACCGCAGGTTATTGAGCTTGACTCCATTTTTTGAGCTGCCTTCATAAATATCTTTTAGAGCCTCTTTAAAAATGTGCTCCGAGTACAGATTGAATATAAGTGGTGAAATTATGCACCCCTGTCTCACTCCCTTAGATTTTGACCTGATCTGTATATTCTCCATTTATTTGGAGCACCGCTGATTGATTCCACTACAGGTTAGCTATTATTTTTAGGTCTCTTTCATCAATCCCTGTCCTCTTTAGCATTTCCATTATTTGTTTATGTCTGACTCTATCGAAAGCCTTCTTGTAGTCAATCAGGCATGCAAAATATCACAGCTGACATCTACATTTCTGAAACAATACCGGCACGGTAACCTACGAGCTTTCCTTGTACCCACGGCGGCGTTCACAAATTCAAACTGATTGGGCGTAATTTGTTCCTCGCATTTCCGGTAAATTATTTTATAGATGACTTGTAAAAACTTATCGTCTATCAAGTCCCGGTGCCTTTCCATCCTTCATTTGTCTGACGGCTGCGGTTATTTCTTCTGGTTGGATTTCGGGACGTGAGCTTTCTTCAATGGTAGGTTCCTGTATTGTTCTAAGATCATGGAAAAGCTTCTCCAAGTATTCTTCCCATATTTTCCTTTTATGTTCTTTGATTATGGCAATATTGTCTTCATCATGTGTTATCTTTCCGCTGTTGCTTTTTCGGAACTTTCGATGGACATTGAAGTTATCATATCGACTCTGATGTTCCTCTATTTCTTGACATTGTTCTATTTTTTGTTTCTCTTTGGCTTCTCTTATCTTTTCCTTGACGATGGTATGTATTCTCTTATATTCTTGGAGATTTTCTTTGTTTTTTTTCTCTGATTCATAAATTTAATATTATTGTTGCCGCCTATTTTACAGTTTGTTGTGCTATTACAGTTGATACTTCGTGGTATTTCATTCACTGCACATCAATTATATTCCAAAGATAATATCTAGGAACACACCAAGACCGATATTCGTTGTATGTGCTTTGGACGATTCAGTTTTGAAAATGTTTATTTAAACATTTTCCTTGAAGTGTAACCAATATTTTCCAACCTTACCAGATGACCTTAATGTTTATAACTGGATTTTAATTACATTGACATTGCAAAATATTTTCAGGTCGTTGTCTGGAAAATATGAATAGATTTGTATTGTGGTCCTCTGGTTAAAACATTTCAAATCGCTATTATATTATTTCGGTTTATCGAAAATGGTCTTGTGATGAATAAGTTTTTAGAAGTAACAACTGGAAACTATAGTAAAAATATGGGATAATTCGTCGATCTAAAGGTACAAATTACATCGTGGTAAAATTCCATCAATACCAATATATAAATCTGTCAGTAATTTTTATTTATTTCATAATTTGTGTTGTAAAATCAATCAACTATTGAAAGTCCATTTAAAAATTGTCAATATGTATTTTTGTGGTACAATGTTTTCTCTCATTTTACCTCATGCAAACTGCTTTTGTCGATTTTCTGATCTGTAACAGATATAGAAAACTGCATAGATACATAGAAAAACAGATTCAGGGACAGCATTAAAAATCATGCAGGGACAAATTTTAAAACTTCCAGTTTCTAGAAAACTAGAAAAACCACAACATACAGTCTCTGAAATAGTCTATAGAGATAATATACAAAGTAGTATTCTCTCTATTTACTGAAAGAAATTAGCTATCTGAAGCAGTATGCAGATGGAAAACGGTTTTTAACTATATACCACATTATATGACTTGTTTCAATTTATTAACTCAAGCGTTGGAGTACTATTTTCACTTCTTTGAGGTGTCACTGGTCGTATTTTCCATAATTTATCCAACTAATTTTTCCCGTTCCGTATTCTGTCCTTGAAGGTTCTTATTTGAGTTGTGATCTTTTACATTTGGTGTGATTTCTTGTTGGTTTGTACTAGATATTATTATTTATGCGTTAATAATTCGGATCAATTTTATTTTCCACTAGCATTATCGAGTGCGATTATCCAAAGCTTTGTACGTTATTTAAGCCTGTTCTTTTTTCAACGTTATTGTGGCTCCCACGATATTTGGTTCACAATGTACTCTTATTATCTATTTCTCTTTTTCATTGATATTGCTTTCCCAATATGTTTCCGTTGTCATATTGCTAACATTTTTATCAGCATCTCTTAGTATTCACGTGGTGTACCCAAAAGAACTCTCCAATTGTTCTGATTTGACAATTGCAATTTCTTGGAAACCAATTTATTTCAAAAATATATCTGCAATTATCTGCCTATTTGAATATGTAAACACTGCCTTCATTTATAGATCTGCCATATCTTGTATTATGATTTTCCTCAGTACTTATTTATTGTGCCTTTATTTTTTATTATTAAAAAGCTGTCACCAATTGGAATATTCTTACTCAAACGCATTAATTTGTACTTAAACGCTCAAGAGAGAAATCTGGAATAAGAAACATCTCTATTTACCAACATGGTTTTGTCGATAAGTTGCCAAAAATCAACTGGCATTATGGCAGACGTCAAGCTAGTATGGAAATGTCCTTTATGATCTGCTATACGTTTGTTAAAAGTTCTACCAGTTTGACCGATGTAAGTTTTTGGGCAGTTACGACATTTTAGTTTGTACACACCACTGTGCAAGTGCTTTTTTCTTTTGGTGTAAACAAACTTTAATGTTGCGACTGCTCAAATACTTACATCGCTCAAACTGGTAGAACTTTTAATAAACATATAGCCGAACACAGAAGGGCTTTCAATAATAGAAAAATATATTATACGTATGTACGCACTTCAGCTTCAAATTCTTCACATTTAAAATAAAGGCGTTAAGCTACTCTTATTAGAATTTATGAATATTATCAAATTAAAAAATACAAACATAGTTCCGAATGACCAACTTGAGAGAATCAGTTCTCTCTTCCTTAACTTATTCAGTTGAAGACTTCTTCTTCTTGTAGTTCTTTCTTGTATCGGAGGTTATCTATCATCACAGGTATCAGTACCTTATTGGCGACTGATCTGAAAAGATATAGGGAGCTGCAACTATACCACTCTCTTAGGTTTCTTAACCAGGAAATTTTTCTTATGGATCTTTTACCCTTGATTTTACCCCTAGTTCCTTCTCCTATCAGAGGTTGGTTATCAGTACAGCTTTTTTTTATTAAATTGTCTAATGTTCTGGCTGGTACAAGCTTCTTACATTCCTTGTTGCAAGTCTTATTGGTCTACATTTTTGTATTCTTAGACGTGCAATTGAAAACTATAAATTGTAAACGCATAAAAACGTAAGAAAGACACTACTGTAGTGAAAATAAGGTATAATAAATTTTGTGGACGTGTTGACAACAAAAAAGTGTTGTTTTTTTTGGTTGTTGGTTTTGTGTATAAAGTGGTAATTGTTAAAAAAAACTATATTTCACATATTTATAAGACCTTCATAATGAACTAATTGAATGCATTCTTAATCTAGAGAATAAAAAGTTGTGTTTGTTCATCACATTGCGCCATTATAATGAACCGATATGATATAAAATTTCTAAAAACCTTAAAAATCTTTTAACTTTATTTTATCTTCTAATATTATCTGTGATTAGGCTATGTATTTATGTTGTAACTTGTATATATTATATCCAAAGTGTAAATAAAAGAGGTGCCTTGTAATTTTTCGGAATTGAGAGCGCTCAATAGATTGTTGAGTCGCTGAACATTTCTAGTCTTTGTGATCCTCACG